GGAGAGCCCTGCAACTCCTCACCCTGCCTCACATTTTCCCAAAGCAGCCATTCAACCCGTCATTCTCCCAGGAAGTATTTTGGGAAACTTCGTTTGTCTAATCACTGGTTGAGCAAGAAGGAATGGCGGGCTTCTTCATCTGAGCCAGTCTACCTTCCAGAGGAGTAGTCACACTTCACAGCATTCTTGTACCTTGCTATTGTGGTTCTAGAACATAGGTGATAGTGTAGCTCATTCTGCCTACTGTCATGAGGAAGGCTTTGCAGAAGATGTAACATTTGATTAGGCCAGCAAGTTTGAATTGGAAGAAAAGAAGGGAGGAAGAGACAGAGGGAGGCAGGGAGGGAGGAAGGAAGGAAGAAAGATGGAAGAATGAATAGCTCTGCGTAACAGACCAGATTGTACAGAGGCTTGGATTTATAAAAGTGTAGGGCAAAGGCAACTTGCTAGACTGATTTTTAGGGGAAAAAAAAGTGATTTGTAGAAGTAAAGATGGTGTGTATTAGAGGATGAATCTGGAAAACTAAAGGTGAAGAATATCATGAGGGGCCTTGAATAGAGCAGGAGACTGTCTTTTCCCCCGACTTTGCCTGAAAATGGCGAGATATGAGTGGTTCAACATTCTGCGTAGATCCATATGGTCAGATAAACACTGTCAATATCCAAAAGATAGGGAGTGCAATTAATATTGTCAGAGGAACACTGCTTTATGCCTTCTGTTTTGTTCTGTTTCAATGGTCAACAAGTAGCAACTGACAGTTGGCCTCTTTTCAGGAAACAGATAAAGAATGGTGGAGACAGCTCACAGAGTCTGAATTTCCTGAGCTATGGAGGAGGCAGGTCCTTCCCAGACTTCAGGGATGGTTGGTACAAGGAAACATGGCCCAAAGTTTCTAGATCTTCCAGGCTTTCAAGAGATTCTACTATAGACCTAAATTTTACACGAGACACTTCCATTTAAAAATATCACCTCTGTTTTACACAATGCAGACAAACCATCATCGTTGTCATCATCAATCTTCCTCCTCCTCCTGCCCTTCGTCCTCCTCCTCAGACTAAATTTGGTCCATGAGGCTGCATTTGGCTCTGTTAACCAACAGAATCCATATGGCAGCCACTGGTCTTCTCCAAGTGCTCTCCTCTCCCAACCTCCAGCCAACACTTGCATTACTTTTCTCTTTCCTTCTCCTATGTGAGCGCTTAAACTTTGGGTGGCTGCCACTCACAAAGGCTGGTGGTGAGCCACGTAATCCTCATGTTTGCTCTCAGATGTGGGAAGGAGATGTGGTGTCTGACCTCAGCAGAGGAACCATTTTAAGGAAGGGGAAGGAGAAGGCAGTCTCTGAGAAGGGAGTGTCATCGTGGAAGGTGGGGAAAGAATATAGAAGGTGGGGTTTTTTGTTTGTTTTTTTATTTGTTTTTATTTTTTCAGAAAGGTGGGTAAGACTGAACTGTCAAAACCTGGCTAAGACAAAGCAAAACAAAACAAAGTCTCCTGATGGAAATCCCTGACACAGGGGACGATTGACAGAATGGACACCAAGGAAGTGACAGAAAAATCAAAAAATGCGTGGGGAAGCAGAGGGCATCCAAAAAGGAGGATGTATTTGCTATCATATTAAAGTCTGACTTCCAGAGCTTTAATTAAAAATACATGCTTTCAATTAGGGATCAGCAAACCATGGTTGGTGAGCCAAACCTAGCCCATTACCCGTTTTTACAACTCTCAAACTCAGAATGGTTTTTATATTTTTTCAAGAAGGGGGAAAAAAATGAAAGGAGGATCTCATGGCAGGTAAAAATCAGAGGAAATTCAAATTTCAGTGGTTTTTTTTTCTGTATTGTAACTGCTTTCATGGATCAGTAGCAGTTTTGAGTCATGACAGCAGAGAAGTAAGGTCCTAACACCTGAGCTATCTATGATTTGCCCATTTATAGAAACAAGTGTCCCATCCTGTCTGGGATGACCATCACCAATATTGACCCATGGCCCTTTGCTTGAATTCTGCTTTTCTGAGGTCTACCTGCATCTCCTTACCACAGCTCCTCTATTCTCTATTCTTTTATGCTTACATATCAAAGTTCCTGCAAAAAAAAAACGCATGAGTTTAATAAGACACACTAGACATTGGATAGCTGGCCATTTAGCATGCGTCGTGCGTTCTAGCCCGTGGTAAGGAGGAACATGCAGAAGGTGGTTGTCTGACTTTTAACAGAGGAAGTGGATGAAAGAACAAAAGAATTGTTGTCTGGTAATACTAGGTGCTTCCTGTTTGGAAAAGCAGAAGCTGTGTTCGGAAAAAGAGGTTTTATTTAATGGCTGTCATTAAATTTTGTGTCTTATTATTTCATAATGTTTTTGAGATGGGCTTGGAAGAAGGATATATTCAATTCATATGGTTCCAAAAGTAGAACTACTACAGATGATACATGACAGTAATATATAAATAGACAGAGTCAAAGACAACGTGAATATCGATAGGGTGGGAGGTGGTGAGGACAAGAAGACAAGAACACAAATATGCAGGCAGTAAAGGCCAACACAATGGGCAGAGTTGAACTTCTTATTTGGTTTTGAGCTTCCTGGCAGTCAAAATGAAAAGGGTCACAAAACAGCCCTTATCTTAAGAGACAGGAGGAAATGGATACTCATTACTCACGATCAGCAAAAACTTCTGTATCATGGAGTTCTTTAAAAGAAAACAGAGGGGCGCCTGGGTGGCTCAGTCTTTTAAGCCTCTGCCTTCGGTTCACATCATGATTTCAGGGTCCTGGGATTGAGCCCCACGTCGGGCTCCTTGCTCGGCAGTGAGACTGCATCCTCCATTGCCCTTTACCCAGCTTGTGCTTGCTTTCTCTCTCTCTCTCTCTCTTTCACTCTTGCTCTCTCTCAAATACATACATAAAATCTT